TAGCCTCTGGAAAAGCGTTCATAACTTTTCCTTAACTTCCTTAACGTTCTTTAAATTTTCTAAGGAGTTTTATAAATGTTCTAGCAAAAGAAGAAATCATATGGAAAAAGATGAACCTGTTTGGCCATGTGTTGAGTGGTGTTGTGGGATGGCGAGGGGGTCCCCAGGAGTGCCCCTACTGAGGACGTGGCAGGAGTGACCGACCGCGTCGGAGGAAGCCACGGCAACCAGCAGCGTCCATCATTTTTGAAGGCCGAGAAATGACACCAACATACTTTCGTGATTGCCACGTTGCACTCTCTGGAATTCCCCCACCCCAGCAGCCTTTGGATGCTCACACAAGTCACAGCCTTAGGAACACTTACACCCTTGATCATGCACAAGACCATACACCCTTGGAGTTCCACAAATGCACTTTCCCTCGGCTTCATGCACCCATCGGTCTCCCACAGAAGTGCTCCTTTGGGGCCAAGCACGGTGACTCACGCCTGTAATCCCAGCACTTTGGGAGGCCAAGGTGGGCAAATCACTTGAGGTCAGAAGTTCGAGACCAGCCTGGCCAACATAGCGAAACCCCATTTTTACTAAAAAATATACAAAAATTATCTGGGCATGGTGGCTCACGCCTGTAATCTCAGCACTTTGGGAGGCCGAGGTGGGCAGATCATTTGAGGTCAGGCGTTCAAGACCAGCCTGGCCAACATGGTGAAACCCCGTCTCTACTAAAAGATACAAAAATCAGCCAGGCATAGTGCCTGTAATCCCAGCTACTCAGGAGACAGAGGCAGGAGAATAGCTTGAACCCAAGAGGCGGAGGTTGCAGTGAGCTGGGATCGTGTCACTGCACTCCAGTCTGGGCAACAGAGCAAGACTCCATCTCAAAAAAAAAAAAAAAAAAAAAAAAAGTCATCGATTATAAGGTGCATCAGCTGTAAGGTTTCCTATTCCCTCTGCAGAGGTGGTACCACTCCCGCAGGGGTGAGTGCACCCACACTGCAGCCACGCCAAGTGCCTGCCCTTCTCCTTCGGCCCTCGCTTCTCTCTGCCTGTCCGGTAACCTACACACGACACCCTGTCCAGCTGCACACCCACAACAGGGCAGAGACCTCTGAAGGGCGGCCAGTGTTGGGAGATGATTCTACCCGCCGCTGTGCCCCTGATACCCGGCTGGGCTGCGTGTCCCCAAACCAGATGACTAGGCTGCTCCCTCACCCAGGGTCCCCTGTGACCAGGGACAAAGCTTCAAGCCAGGTTCAGGCCTTCTCTGGGCTTCAAATGCACCGGCCCTTCCAGGGACTTCCCCTGCAAGACTGTGATCTCATGGGCCCTTTCCCCAGCTGGGACTGGACGAGGAGCCAGCCCTCGGGCACCGGCCTCATTGCCGCCCACCTCGAAGTCTTCGTGGAGGGCAGAACATGTTTTTAAAACGCAAAAAACTCATCCTGTCTGAACTGAACATTTTTCTCTGCTTGTTGAACAACACCATTTACATTCCTGGGCCAGTCGGCGGCCAAGATATTTATAGCCCTGCCCTGGCACTCCATCTTGCCTAATTGGCGTGGCCTGACGGGGGCCCTATCCGTCCTGGTAAGTGGGCCTCTCACCAACCTCCAGCGGGCCCTCTGCCAGCCCGGACGTTCCCAGGCCTGGGTGGAGTAGGTGGCCCTCACCCCGTCTGCTGCCCAGGCCCCTCTCCAGGGGGCTTGGTCATGCCAGGGAAGCCCCCAAGAGCAAACAACTGGCCCAGGCCACCTGGACCGTCCAGCCCAAGGGTGGCTGGGGATCACTGACAGCATCTGCCCAGACATTCCCAGGCATCCCACGCTGCCCTCAGCCTCCCTGTCACCCTCACTCCATCCCCCGAGCTTACAGAGGAAGCCCTGTCACTCCGCTACCTGATGACCTCACGGTCCTCTGTCCCACAGGATGGAGCCTCAGCTCCTTTGTGGGCTCTGGAAGGACCATCACTGTTTGTGCAGTGACAGCCCTGACACTTCTCGCTCTCTGTGCCAGTCATGAGGATGCTTCCTAGCAAGGGAAGCCGGGCTCCAGGCCTTTTTTTTTTTTTTTGAGTCTGAGTCTCTCTCTGTGGCCCAGACTGGAGCGCAGTGGTGCGATCTCGACTCACTGCAATCTCTGCCTCCTGGGTTCAAGTGATTCTCCTGTCTTAGTCTCCCAAGTAGCTGGGACTATAGGCGTGCACCACTAATGCCCAGCTAATTTGTGTACTTTTAGTGGAGATGGGGTTTCACCATGTTGGCCATGCTGGTCTTGAACTCCTGACCTCAAGTGATCCCCCCGCCTTAGCCTCCCAAAGTGCTGGGATTACAGGTGTGAGCCACCGTGTCCAGCCAGCCAACCCATCTTCTGAGACTCAGTTTCCACATCTGAAAAATGGGAAGCTATAATACTCCCTGCCTCATAGGGTGGTTGAGTTAGATCCAGTAGGAGAAGTACTGCATAAGTGCTAGCTGCTTGAAAAAATTTTTTCATTTAGAGACAGGGTTTATTGCTGTTATTATTATATTACGTCATTACGCTCTCACGCTGTCATATCAGTTGCAAATTCATTCAACAGATATGAGTGCCTCTCGGGGCACAGCAGTGAGTGAGACTCATAAGGCTCCTGCCCTCATGGGTCTTACAGTTTGGTGGCAGAGACAAAAGGTGAACATGCCGTTATAAATTAAGGTAAGTTCCCATGAAGGAGACACACAAGGGGCTCTGAGGGAAAAGACTTGGGGAAACCTAGTTTGAGTTACAGAAGAAAGTAAGCTCTGGCCAGGTGTGGTGGCTCACATCTGTAATCCCAGCACTTTGGGAGGCCAAGGCGAGTGGACCACTTGAGCTCAGGAATTCGAGGCCAGCCTGGCCAACATGAGGAAACCCTGCCTCTACTAAAAATACAAAAATTAGCTGGGTGTGGTGGCAGGCGCCTGTAATCCCAGCTACTCGGGAGGCTGAGGCAGGAGAATTGCTAGAACCCGGGAGGCAGAGGTTTCGGTGAGCCAAGGTCGTGCCACCGCACTCTATCTAGCCTGGGCGACGGAGCGAGACTCTGTCTCAAAAAAAAAGAAGAAAGAAAGTAAGTAAGCTCCAAGCTGAGACCTAAAGTATGATAAGGGACCAGTGGGGAAAGAATCACAGAGAAGAGCATCCAGGCAGAGGGAACAGCGTATGCAAACACACAGATTCCAGGGGAAAAGAATTGGGGGAGAGTGAAATTGGGGGAGGTGAGGCAACACCAGGTCATGGTGAACCTCGAGCCATTGGGATGTTGTTGATTTTGGTGCAAATGCTATAGGAAGCCCTTGGGGAAAGGGGTGGTTTAAGCAAGAGAATGTTGATGGGACCTGATTTACATTGTCCGCAGCTTATTCTGGCTGGAGAGGGTGGAGAGGAGGCAGGGAGGCGGGGAGGAGGCTGTGCTGGCCTCCAGGGCGGAGTTCGTGGTGGCTTGACACAGGGGTGTCAGCGAGAACAGAGGGAGGTGGATTTGGGATTTATTTTGGAGGTAGAATTGACGAGTCTTGGCGGTGGCCGGGGTGTGGGTGGTGAGGGCGGGACCATCCAAAGATGCCTCCCAGTTTTCTGGCTCGAGCCATCAGGCAGACGATGGTACCATTTCCTGAGATGGGGAAGTCACAGGGAGGGGCAGGCTGGGGAAGAAACCAAGAGTTGACTTTTGGACGCATTATGTTTGAGCTGCTATTTGTCCTGCCTGGCTAGCGACTGACAGAGCTCCGTGGGCCTCAGAGTTACAGAAGTCGCCCCTGTTCCCCTGTGGTCCCTGCTCACGTGTGGCCCCATGAGGTGTTTCAAAGCACTGAAATTGTTCCAGCATCCTCTAGCCCCCTTTCTTGGGGCCAGCACCATCTTTCCAGGGGCAGAACTGACTCACTCCAACCACTTCATTCTTTTTTCTTTTTCTTTTTTCTTTTTTTTTTTTGTTTTGAGACAGAGTTTTGCTCTTGTTGCCCAGGCTGGAGTGCAGTGGCGCGATCTCGGCTCACCACAACCTCTGCCTCCTGGGTTCAAGTGATTCTCCTGCCTCAGCCTCCCGAGTAGCTGGGATTACAGGCATGCACCACCACCACGCCCGGCTAATTTTGTATTTTTAGTAGAGACGGGGTTTCTCCATGTTGGTCAGGCTGGTCTCGAATGCCCAACCTCAGGTGATCCACCCGCCTCGGCCTCCCAAAGTGCTGGGATTATAGGCGTGAGCCTGGCCCCAACCACTTCATCGTGAAACAATGAAGGACCTCAGCCTTGTTCACAGGCTCAGTGGGAAGGTGTCTCTGTTGGGATCCCCTGACTGCTATGAACTCCAGGCCTTTGACCTGTCCCCTTTCCTGTCCCCCTACTTCAGCCCCCACCTCCTGGATCTGCTCTGCAGAGCTCTATCAGTTTTTTAGAGACAGGGTCTCTGTTACCTGGGCTGGAGTGCAGTGGTGGGATCACAGCTCCCTGCATCCTTGAACTTCTGGGCTCAAGCCATCCTCCAACCTCAGCCTCCTAAGTAGCTGGGATCACAGGCATATGCCACCACGCCTGGCTTTTAAATTTTTATAGACACGGGGTCTTGCTATGTTGCCCAGGCTAGTCTTGAACTGGCCTCAAGCAATCCTCCCACCTCAGCCTCCCAAAGTGCTGGGATTACAGGCACATGCCATCATGCCCAACTAATTTTTAAATTTTTATAGAGAGGGAGTCTTGCTCTGTTGCCCAGGCTGGTCTCCAACTCCTGGCCTCCAGCAATCCTCCAGCCCCAGCCTCCCAAAGTGCTGGGATTATAGGTGTGAGCCACCACACCTAGCTCTGCAGAACTCTTTAGAACCACATAGACTCCAGTTTGAACCCCGCCTCTGCCATCCATATCTACCAGTTATGTGAGCGTTCTCCGTCAGTGGAATGGGGTAAAGAACAGTGTTCCCTTAGGGGTGTGGTGAGCATTCATTGAGATAATGCTTATAAAGGTTTCATGCCAAAGCTACTGAAAGGCAAGTGTGAAATTTGGTGTTTTTATTATTTAGTGTTGCCTGATCTCCCACCCAAGCCCACCGTAAAGGTGTGATTATGAAATCCACAAGCCAGAGGCCCCCACCACCTTCTTGTCTTTTTCTGCCTCACCCCCACCCATCCCACAGCAACCTTACAAAGCTCTGATGGTGGGATTCCAGGCATCATCAACCAATGGGAAGGGAGGGGGCACTGAGTCACCCCATATTGGCGCGTGGCAGCCTCTGGGGGCTGTGGGCAGGGCTGGCCTCGTCTGGTGACTGGGGAGGGAGCTGGCAGAAGGCCGGGGAAGGGGGACAATGGGCCTTTTGTCTTTGCCGAGGTTTCTCCGTCCAAGATGCTCCAGCCCCTAGACAAACATGACCTCATTCCTCCTCCAGGCTCCAGGACCCAGGGCAGAGACAGGCTTGGAGTTGGACGCACCCACCCCATTTCACAGACTGGAAAACCAAGTCGCACCAGGAAAGAAGACAAGAGGACACTGAGGCTCCAGCCCTAGGACACAGCCAGAAGTCATGCCCTCCTGGGTTGCTGAGCCCAGGGAGGGGACTCACAAGAGGACCTTCTAGGCAGCAAAGGTCTAGCTATCCCGCAAGCTCCTGGGACAGACAGGTTGTGCTTAGATCTGCTACTCACAGCTGTGTGGCTCTAAGCAGCTTACTCACCTTCTCCGGGCCCTGGTTTCTGCATCAGAAAGAGATGCAGGCCTGGCAGTCTCTTTCTTGCAAGGTTATGGTGCCCTTGGAGATCGCTGCTAAGAATTCAGACAGGCCTGCTTCAAGCCATAGCACGTGCGCCCACTGCTCTGCCTTTAACGGGGTGATCTTCTGGGGAAGACCGTGGGGATTAAGGCCCATCCCGCGCAAGCCTCCAGGGTCCACACACATCCCTCTCTTGCCAGGGGCTCTGCAGTGACAAGGCCTGGTAGGAGTCTGGCATATCTTTCTGGTAGCTTCCTAAGTGACATTCTCCCACACTGGCCCTGCTGGGCTTTCACCCCCTGCCCACAGCAGCCCTCACTTCCTATGCCGATACCCCCTCCCCAGAGGGTCTTCTCCAACCTGGTCTCCATCACCCCAACCATCTGGGGACACCCCTGCACCCGAAACCTCAGCAATTCAAGTTGTAAGATGCCAGCGGGAGGGACTCCCAGCCATTCTCTCAGTCTCATCTCTAAGATGCGATAGTAGGGCTGGGCACAGTGACTCACAGCTGTAATCCCAACACTTTGGGAGGCCAAGGCAGAAGGATGGCTGGAGGCCAGGAGTTCGAGATCAGCCTGGGCGATATAGCCAGACCCCATCTCTACAAAAAAGTTAAAAAATTAGCCGGGCATGGCGGCGTATGGTCCCGACTACTTGGTAGGCTGAGGCAGGAGGATTACTTGAGTCCAGGAGTTCAAGGCTGCAGTGAGCTATGTTTGCGCCACTGTACTCTAGCCTGGGTGACAGAGCAAGACCCTGTCTCTAAAAATAAATAGAAAAAATGGGGCCAAGTGCGGTGGCTCAAGCCTGTAATCCCAGCATTTTGGGAGGCCAAGGCGGGTGGATCACCTGAGGTCAGAAGTTCGAGACCAGCCTGCCCAACATGGCAAAACCGCGTCTCTACTAAAAATACAAAAAAATTAGCCAGGTGTGGTGGCGGGCGCCTGTAATCCCAGCTACTCGGGAGGCTGAGGCAGGAGAATCGCTTGAACCCAGGAGGTGGAGGCTGCAGTGAGCCGAGATTGCGCCATTGCACTCCAGCCTGGGCGACAGAGCGAGACTCCATCTCAAAAAATAAATAAATCAACAAATAAATAAATCAACAAATAAATAAATAATAAATAAGTAAAATGGGATAATGGTAATTCTTGGGGACGTGGGAGCATTGGGTGAGAGAGGAGACTCCAGGGACCTGCACAGGACTGGACACAGAGTAGATGCTTATGAAATGACAGGCGTATTAATACCAACTATTCGTCCTTCTCAAAAGTCATTCAGAACAACCTCCCAAGTCATTTACAGAAAGTAAAACCAGAGGTTAGCTGTCAGCTGTCGTCACACAGCCTGTCAGTGTCAGGGCACGGTGCAGACCCGGCCTCCAGGTGCTACCCTGGGGGTTCTCAGGCCGGGCCCTGGTTCTCAGCTCAGGGACCAGGTGAGGGAGGAGGGCGAGTGAGGCTGGAGACGGACCCAGGCTCTGGCCTTTCCCTTGGCCCCGTCTTCCACCGCGGCTGCATTCCCAGTGAGATAAACAAGGGATCAGTGGGAACAAAATGGATGAAGTAACGGGGAAGATATGAGCGGCCGCGCCCAGCCCCCAGCCCGCCCCACCCGCCTGCCCGCCAACAGGGACGGCTTCAGGAGAGGCATGGCCGGCCCCTGAGTCTCAGCCCGTGCCAGGCACTAAGGGTGCTCAGTGCTGGCCAAGCCCTGCCTGATCCCCAGGCTCAGGTGGCAAACTCCCCGTGGTGCCCTTGGACCCTCCCTGGGCCCTGTCCCTACGCCCCACCCTCCCTAAGCTGGGATTATTTCAAATCCCCTCCACCAGAGCTTTGGAGGAGACAATTGCACGCTCCCAAGTGCAAATTCAGAGCCCCAGGGCTGTCTGGAGCGGACATAGGATTTGCCACCCTGGCTCAGCTGGCCTGGGGTTCAGCCTGACGCAGCCTGTCCGTGTCTCTGGGGCACCCGCAGTGCCTTGCTGCCTGGGGCCAGCTCCCTGCCATGGCGGAGGGGCTGTGTGTGCCCAAGGCCTCCCCAACCCTGGTACCAGCTTCCTGCTCCTGCAAATTTCTACCCACCCTGACCTCTCCAAGGAGCCTGGAACTCAGGGGGGCATCTCCAGGGCCAGATGGGAGGCTGGCACTGCTGCTAAAGCCTGGACACCCATCCAGCCGGACACCGCCCCGGGTACCTTCCCCTGCTGAGACATAGACAAAGAGCGAGTGTGTGACTGGACAGGGCTCCACCCGCCGGCTGTGAGCAGCCAGGACCTGCAGCCTTGGGCCAGGGACCCCAGAGGCTCAACATCCGCCTCTGCTTGCCTCAGAAGGAGGCAAGAAATGAGTTCTCCGCCTGCCAGTAAACATCACTGGAGTGCCCACCGGTGCCCTGAGCTGGGAGCCTGGCACAGATGGGATGTGCGGTGGGCACCCCAGGGCCTGCCTGGCTCACTCCAGCCTCAGTGGCCCTCAGTAAACAGTCCCCAAACTGCCCCAGGCCCTGACCAGGCTAAGAGGAGGCTGTCTCTCTCCCCTCTCAGGTTTTTTGCAACCAACAGAGTTGGAATGGTGGAGTCCCAGACCCTGGAATCTGCATTCTGCGACTCCTCGGGTGATATGAAGGCAGGTGTTCTCTGAGCACACCGGAGAGAATCCACTCTGGACGCTTCCCCATTTCCCCGCCCCCTCCCCGGCTTCAGAGGGCCCTGTCCCTACCTGCAGAGGGAGGCTCCTTCATCCCAGCTTCCCCGGTACTCAGGTCCCCACTTTGCCGGCTGACTTTCTTCCCCCCACGCCCAAGGCATCCTCTGTTATGACCATGGAGACCCACGTTTGTTTCCCCAGCACACAACCACCTTCCCTCTTCACGAGCTGGTTCCTCTGTCGGAAACGCTTGTTTAGTGGTTTCCTTTCTACCCAAAATATTCCCACTCAGCCTCGCAGGCCACCTCCTATGTCGCCTCCAAGAAGCCTTCCTTGATCTCCGCCCAGTCCGTGCGGTCCCTCTGTCTTAACATATCTTCTACTAGCGCTCATCACACCGGAATAAAATCGCCTCTCTGGCTAGGAGCTTGTCAAGAACTGAGGCTGTGTGTGAACCTCCCACACCGAGCCAGCCAAGGGCTGCTGGCTGAGCAGGACAGGCCACGGGACCAGGCCACCCCCCAAGCTACGACAACACACTTGCCCAGACTCAGACGTCTCAGGGGACGTCACGTGTGGAGTGTGGGGGAAAGGGACTGACATTTGCCGAAGTCCTATGATGTCCTATGTTCTCTTGTCCCCTTTCTTCAAAGGAGAAGACTGAGTCCCAGGGAAAGGAACTGACGTGCCCAGGGTCACTCAGCTCAGAGGTGGTAAGGTTGGCCTGGGAACCCCTGTGATCATTCTTCAAACCTCGTTGCTCCCATGCGACCACAGTCTCCAGCTCACCCCGTCCCCTACCCAGCAGGACACACACTGCATGAAATTAAGAAGAATTCTAGGCCGGGTGCGGTAGTTCATGCCTGTAATCCTAGCACTTTGGGATGCCAAGGTGGGCGGATCACCTGAGGTCAGGAGTTCGAGACCAGCCTGACCAACATGGAGAAACCTCATCTCTACTAAAAATACAAAATTAGCCAGGCATGGTGCCGCATGCCTGTAATCCCAGCTACTTGGGAGGCTGAGGCAGGAGAATCACTTGAACCCGGGAGGCAGAGGTTGTGGTGAGCCGAGATGGCGCCATTGTACTCCAGCCTGGGCAACAAGGGTGAAACTCTGTCTCAAAAAAAAAAAAAAAAAAAAATTCTAGGCCGGGCGTGGTGGCTGACGCCTGTCATCCCAGCACTTTGGGAGGCCAAGGTGAGAGGATTGCTTGAGTCCAGGAGTTTGAGACCAGCTTGGGCAATATAGCGAGACCCCACCTCTACCAAAAAAAAAAAAAAAAAAATTACAAAAATTAGCCAGGCATGGTGGTGTGCATGTGTAGTCCCAGCTACTACGGAGGCTGAGGTGGGAGGATTGCTTGAGCCCAGGAGGTCGAGACTGCAGTGAGCCGAGATTGCACCACTGCACTCCAGCCTGGGTGACACAGTGAGATTCTAGTTAAAAAAAAAAAAGAAGAAGAAGAATTCTGAGAACAATGACTTGCCCAGAGCTGAGGTCCAGAGCCAGAGGCCTGACTCTAGAGAGTGAACCGAGAAGCTGAGACATACATGGTCCCTGCGTGTGTGGCGTACAGTGGATGCACGTGGCGAGACTCATCAGCTCATGAGCGCAGGACCCCTCCCCCTCTGGCCTGGGAGCCATCTGCCCCGGGGGCCATGGGCTCCTGAGGCTGCTCCCCCGAGACTCACCAGGCAGGGTCTGGATCGCAGAGCTGACACTAAACACATCCTCCCAGCAAGCGTGGGAGGCACCCCCGAAGAGGCCAGTGCTGTTTTGAACAGAACGAGGATGAGGTGACCCCTGACTCCCTGCCAGAAAGCCACTTAGCGGCAGCCGCTGGCGCACCGGAGACATCCAATCAGTCAGCACAGTCTGCGTGATGGGCCGGTGTCCAGCCATGGCCGCGAGGGGAGCCACCAGCGGGGAGCCAGACGGGCCCAAGGCCCTAGCTCAGGGGGAGGCGGGGGCTGCGGTGGCCATCTGTAGGGAGCCACTCTCTCTCTCTTTTTTTAAATTTAAATTTAAGGGACAGGGTCTCACTCTGTCATCCAGGCTGGAGTGCAGTGGCGCAATCACGACTCACTGCAGCCCCAACCTCCTGGGCTCAAGGAGTTTGAGGCTAATCCTCCCACCTCAGCCTACTGAGTAGCTGGGACTACAGGTGCACTCCACCACACCTGACTAATTGGGAAAAAAAAAAAAAAACTTTTGTAGAAATGGGGTCTTGCTTATCGCCCAGGCTGGTCTTGAACTCCTGATCTCAAGTAATCTCCCGGCCTTGACCTCCCAAAGTGCTGGGATTACAGGTGTGAGCCACCATGCCCTGTCCAAAGTAAAGTTATTTTAAGAATTGTCTGTGTTCACTGTTTACACTTTTCACTTACTACTTTCCTCCTTCATCCCCTCCAACCTGGCTTCTATCACCCCCATTCTACCGAAACTCTTCAGCTCAAGTTCACCAATGACCTTTCTGTGGATCAATCTTGTGAACGCTTTTCACTCCTTATTTTACTCAAAATTGCTCAGCATTTCATGTTAGCTTTTTTTTTTTCTTTTTGAGATGAAGTCTCACTCTGTCACCCAGGCTGGAGTGCAGTAGCACAATCTCGGCTCACTGCAACCTCCACCTCCCGTGTTCAATCAATTCTCCCATCTCATCCTCCCGAGTAGCTGGGACTACAGGCGCTGCCACTACACTCGGCTAATTTTTTTGTATTTTTAGTAGAGATGGGGTTTCACTGTGTTAGCCAGGATGGTCTCATTCTCCTGACCTTGTGATCCACCCGCCTCGGCCTCCCAAAGTGCTGGGATTACAGGCGTGAGCCACCACGCCCGGCCGGCATTATTATTTTTAAAACCTTTCCAGCTCTCATTTTAATCTGCAGTCAAATTTGAGAACCACGAAAAGAGATGCTGCTAACTCCCAAATCCTTCATACCTATCCCCAAAGGACCCCTGATGAGCTTTGCTGGCACTATAGATTAGCTTGCAATTTCCAGAATCTTACATATGTTTTTATTGCCTGGCTTTTTTCATTCATGATGAGGATTTTGAGACGCATCCATGTTGCAGCACGCATCAATAGTTTCATTCTTTTTTTTTTTTTAATTGCTGTTGCGTTTCATTACATGGTTATAGCTGGATTTGTTTATCCTTTTACCCATTGATGGATATTTGGTTTGTTTTTAGTTTTTGGCTTTTGCAAATAACACTGCTATGACTATTCATGTATAATGTGTGCATAGATGTCTTCATGTTGCTTGGGAAACACCTACGGGTGGAGTGGCTGGGTCTTATGGTAGGTGTATGATTAGCATTTTAAGAAACTGCCAAAAGGTTTTCAAAAGTGGCTGTGTTTTCTTCCACACCCCCTGGTCATGAAGGAGAGTTCCAGGTTTTGCCCATTTTAAAATTGGGTTGTTTGTCTTCCTAGCATTGAGTTGTCTAAATACAACTGAAAAAAATATTTCAGTCTGTGGTGCATATCTTTATCATTTTTTCCTTCCTTCCTTTGTTTCTTCCTTCCTTCCTCCCTCCCTCCCTCCCTTCCTTCCTTCCTCCCTTCTTTCCTTCCTTTCTCCCTTCTTTCCTTCCTTTCTCCCTCCCTCCTTTGTTCCTTCCTTTCTTCCTTCCTCCCTTCTTTTCTTCCTTCCTTCCTCCCTTCTTTTCTTCCTTCCTTCCTCCCTTCTTTCCTTCCTTCCTTCCTGCCTCCCTCCCTTCCCTCCCTTCGTCCCTTCCTCCCTCTTCCTTCCTTCCTTCCTCCCTCTTCCTTCCTTCCTTCCTTCCTTTACTCCCTCCCTCCTTTGTTCCTTCCTTCCTCCCTTCTTTCCTTCCTTCGTTCCTTCCTCCTTCCCTCCCCTCCCTTCCTCCCTTCCTCTTCCTTCCTTCCATTCTTCCTTCCTTCACT